AGTATAGTGGAGATAACAGACAGTCAGTATAGTGGAGATAACAGACGGTCAGTATATAGTGGAGATAACAGACGGTCAGTATAGTGGAGATAACAGACAGTCAGTATAGTGGAGATAACAGACAGTCAGTATATAGTGGAGATAACAGACGGTCAGTATATAGTGGAGATAACAGACAGTCAGTATAGTGGAGATAACAGACAGTCAGTATATAGTGGAGATAACAGACAGTCAGTATATAGTGGAGATAACAGACAGTCAGTATATAGTGGAGATAACAGACGGTCAGTATATAGTGGAGATAACAGACAGTCAGTATATAGTGGAGATAACAGACGGTCAGTATATAGTGGAGATAACAGACGGTCAGTATATAGTGGAGATAACAGACGGTCAGTATATAGTGGAGATAACAGACAGTCAGTATATAGTGGAGATAACAGACAGTCAGTATATAGTGGAGATAACAGACAGTCAGTATATAGTGGAGATAACAGACAGTCAGTATATAGTGGAGATAACAGACAGTCAGTATATAGTGGAGATAACAGACAGTCAGTATATAGTGGAGATAACAGACAGTCAGTATAGTGGAGATAACAGACAGTCAGTATATAGTGGAGATAACAGACAGTCAGTATAGTGGAGATAACAGACAGTCAGTATATAGTGGAGATAACAGACGGTCAGTATATAGTGGAGATAACAGACAGTCAGTATAGTGGAGATAACAGACAGTCAGTATATAGTGGAGATAACAGACAGTCAGTATAGTGGAGATAACAGACAGTCAGTATAGTGGAGATAACAGACAGTCAGTATAGTGGAGATAACAGACGGTCAGTATATAGTGGAGATAACAGACAGTCAGTATAGTGAACAACAGTCAGTATAGTGGAGATAACAGACAGTCAGTATAGTGGAGATAACAGACAGTCAGTATATGTGGAGATAACAGACAGTCAGTATATAGTGGAGATAACAGACAGTCAGTATAGTGGAGATAACAGACAGTCAGTATATAGTGGAGATAACAGACAGTCAGTATAGTGGACGAGTACGTTATAAATGAACTCTATTGTATAACTGTAAGTAATTCGTCATTTCCATTAAGTAACATCAGAGTTCCTTTTGGTACAACACTAACCATCGACAGTGGCACTACGGCAGGAAGTGGTCGGTGCACATTAGCAGTGTACTGACGGAAGTATGCGGAATGAGACACAGCCAGGGTGATGAGTCCGTGTGTGAGTGTGTGTGTGAGTCCGTGTGGGAGTGTGTGTGAGGTGTGTGAGTCCGTGTGTGAGTGTGTGTGTGTGTGTGGTGTGTGTGTGAGTGTGTGGAGTGTGTGTGTGAGTGTGTGAGTGTGTGTGGGAGTGGAGGAGGCGAACTGAGGACGTCCAACATGGCCGACAGTAACTCCCGTTTGTGTTCCCGTCAGAGTGTTCTCCCTGTCCCCGAGTCAGCGTTCAGAGGTGTGTGTGTGGTCGAGAGACGGCAGAGAGACCCTGCGCCAGCCCTCAGTGGAACTGTCAGCAGGTACACATACACAGTGATACTGTAATAATTATGTAATAACACTGTAATAATGATGTAATAACACTGTAATAATGACGTAATAACACTGTAATAATGATGTAATAACACTGTAATAATGATGTAATAACACTGTAATAATGACGTAATAACACTGTAATAATGATGTAATAACACTGTAATAATGATGTAATAATGATGTAATAATGATGTAATAACACTGTAATAATGATGTAATAATGATGTAATAACACTGTAATAATGATGTAATAACACTAATAATGATGTAATAACACTGTAATAATACAGTGTCACTGACTGCTGAGCTGCTTTATACTCTGATGGACAGTCAGCAGGAGTTAATACTGACTCAATATCGGTTTCATTATTGATTGATCTGTTAATTATTATTGTAAATATTCAGTGTTGTTACAGATGTAAACACTTCACTTATTGGATGCATAAAATACTGAAAACACGTTTCACAGCTGCACTCATACTGAATTTTATAACTTTATAACTCTTCCTCATCATCATCCTCCTCCTCCTCCTCCTCTTCCTCCTCTTCCTCCTCTTCCTCTTCCTCCTCCAGGTATGCGGCTCTCTGCTCTCCTGTGGGAATCACACCTGTGAGGTTGTGTGTCACGATGGAGTTTGTCCCCCGTGTCCTCGCTCCGTCAGCAGATCCTGTCCCTGCGGCAAGACCAGTGAGCGCGCGCACACACACACACACACACACACACACACACACACACACACACACACACACACACACACACCTGTCTCACTCTCTGCTGCTATTTTCTAAATGTCACTGTGTGTGTGTATAGAGTCGTCTTTGCCGTGCACAGAGGAAGTGTCACCGTGCGGCGACACGTGCGACCGTCGTCTGTCGTGTGGGAAACACACCTGTTCAATGAGATGTCACAGAGGGAGCTGTGAGACCTGCAGACAGGTGACACACACACACACACACACACACACACACACACACACACACACTGACTCTCTGTATGTGTGTGTGTCAGGAGGTGGAGAAGGAGTGCAGGTGTGGTAAATACAGGAAGTTTATGCCGTGTCATAAAGAATACCTGTGTGACTCCAAATGTCCAAAAACCAGAAGCTGCCAGAGACACCAGTGCAGGAGGAAGGTGAGTGCATCATCTTCATCATCAATACATTCGTACCAGTCAGTTTATTGATCCATCAGTTAGTCAGTGTCAGAAAACACTGATTCATTTGATCTGAACTCCAGATCCTCACAGTAAAGACAGTCCGACTGATTACTCTCATCATTGATTATCACAGCCGCCGTCAGTCTGTATAAACAGCCCACGCTCTCCATTCATTGTCTATGTGAGCAGCAATGCATTCTGGTAGTTTAAAGAGACACTAACACACGCGTGGAGCGACGGTTCCTCGCCGCTCTCCTTATCTTCCTCGCTGAGACGACAGCGTGCAGATTTGTGGATGTCGCTGTGTAAATGTCAGAGCGATGGCGTCTAATCCGACGGTAATCTGATCGTTAAAGGTTGGCGGCGACAGCGCGGCTCTTATCGTCTCCGTGGCGTTAACCATCTTCATCCTCCTGTTTAAACTCCCACCCTGCCTTGTGTTACAGTGTTGCCCTGGTAACTGCCCTCCGTGCGACCAGAGCTGTGGTCGGACTCTGGGGTGTCGCAACCACAAGTGTCCCTCCGGCTGTCACCAAGGTAACGCACGCACACACACACACACACACACACACACACACACACACAGTCCTGTACGCGATGCGAGATTTAACCGTCTCTGAAAATGTCACGTTATTTATTTCAGGGTCGATACAGATACCGATTATTGGTAATCAAGGAAACCGATAAGCCAACATCTTGGTGTCAGAATTCAGAATAAGTGAGTTCCTGTGGGCGGGGCTACAGACGGAGAGAGAGGCGGCGGCATCACAGCCAAAATATCAAACCCTTAAATTATTTTATTGGCAACTGGATAAAGAAATCATGGATACAGATAATTGGAATAATGCTGATAATCGATCGTATTTTGTTTTTCCTTTATTAGTGTTTCTACCGGGGGGGTCAGTAAGTTGTTATTTTATTCTCTTTTGGTATAGTGTGGAGCAGTAGCAGTATTTTATTTTGAAAATCCACCCTATTCTCTGCTCCGTTTCTGTGTCTGACTTCCTGCCGGTGCGATCTGCTCTGTGCTGTTTGACGCTGGTCGCTCGCGGCCATCGACCCGGCGTGTATTCTCCACGGAGCCGCTGTAGCTACCGTCTGTGGATGAGAGTCAAGAGGCTGACCCGGCGTCCTCACTCCCCAGAACTCCTGTAATTCTGGGCCTTTGGAGGATAATGAGAAGAACTCACACTCACTCTCTCGCTCACTGCTGGAAACATCTCATTTATTACAACGTTACAACGTTTCACAGCAGAATGACATAAAAAGTCAAATGTTTTCCAGCAGTGAGTGAGACAGTGAGTGAGACAGTGAGTGAGACAGTGTGGTGGAGTCCTTCCTCTGATGCACGTTAGTCATATTCAGGTGTTGTTTCTGTATATTTTGGGGGCTTTGGAGGAAGTAAACAGGAAGTAGGTTGCTCTGGAGTCTGTGAGTTGTCTGTTTTTGTTCCCTTCAGTCTCATTACGAGGAGCCTAATGGTCTGTTAGCAGTGAACTCATGGACGTACAGACGCTCTCACTGGATCACTGCGACACTGAAGAACACAGAACAGTGGGATTGTTCTCAGGCAGTTAGAAGGAGCTTCTTTTACTGTGGATTAATGTGGATTAATGTAGATTAATGTGGATTAATGGCTGTTTATTTGTGATGAAGATCAGAGTAATGACCTCCTTAGGAAGCGTAAATCACACTGACTCTAAAAGTGTCTGTTTTATGTCTGTCGTTCCTTGATGAGTTGTGTGTCGCTGCTGCAGCTCCATCGCTGACAAGAACACCTGTATACACCTGTCCCTCTTCACCTCACACAGTGCCCTCTCCTCTTCCTCCTCCTCCTCCTCCTCCTCCTCCTCCTCCTCATTACACACACAGCTCCCTCTGTGACAGAAAGCTTCATGTTCCATTTAAAAGTCTGAAAACATCAGCTGAGGTTATAAAACACTGCACCTGAACTTTATTGTGAAAACCACACACACACACACACACACACACACACACACACACACACACACACACACACACACACGGAGTCACATCACATCATCGTCTGTCAGACATGTTGTGATTTGTTGAGCGAGTCACAGCTGGTAGAAGGTCAAAGGTCAAACTCAGGAAAATTCTGACCCATACCACCTCCTGAAGAGTGTGTGTGTGTGTGTGTGTGTGTGTGTGTGTGTGTGTGTGTGTGTGTGTGTGTGTGTGTGTGTGTGTGTGTGTGTGTGTGTGTGTGTGTGTGTGTGTGTGTGCTGACATTTGTTACACACACACACACACACACAGATGAATGTGTGTGTTTGGGAAAATGTTGACCTCTGCTTCCTGTCAAACATCATTAATCTCTGTTATTAAAGACGTGTGTGTGTGTGTGTGTGTGTGTGTGTGTGTGTGTGTGTGTGTGTGTGTGTGCGTGTGTGTGTGTCCCTATTGTTCCCCGATCAGGCGATTAAAGGATAATTTATGCGTCCGTCTGCCTCGTGATTGGCTGAATAGATTAATGTTGATTTATTTTTGCTTCTGCCTGCTGATTGGCTGCTCTGACCTTTCAGGGCGTAACAGATAGAAGGTCGCGCCGCCGCCAACGCAGATAACAGCAGACACTGAGGCGTGTGTGTGTTTGTGTGTGTGTGTGTGTGTGTGTGTGTGTGTGTGTGTGTGTGTGTTGAAATAATCTTTTAGCTCACACAGTGTTAATTAAACAGACCGATCGGCTCTTAATGCTGCGACACTCATGAGTCTCAGCTGTTGTTGCCACGGAGAAGGAACTAGTTATTAGTATTGAGTTATTTAACAACTGAGAACCGGATCCAACATGGAGCCAAACTCCTGGTTCTACCACAGAGTGAAGCTTTTATCAGCTCACACACTCTCTATCTGCCCCTCAACACTCAGTGTGTTATGTTGATAGGACTCTTCATCAGAGCGTCAGGTGACAGAACACAGACTCTTATTCAGGGATACAGTGTTAGCAAACTGACAGGAAACACTTAACCAGGGTTGTTTACACCCCAAATCTTACATCCATGATCAGTGCGGAGCTAAACTGGGACAGCGGGCGGAGGTCAGATGAATGGTTCACAAACACTGTAGTCGAGGCTCCAAACTGGAACTATTTGGAGGAGCAATGTGAACCAGGAAGATGGTTCTTGAACCATTCAATGAATAATAATAGAGGTGGTACGCACTGTAAAAACTGAGAGAAACTCTTTGCACATTGAGAGCTGTAGATTGGAAACACACTAATAGGAGATTGTGTAAGAAAATAAAACCTCATTCAGTGTCCTTATTGAAATAACTGTGTCTCACCTGTCCCTCAGGTAGTTGTTATCCCTGTCCGGAGTCGGTGGAGGTCAGGTGTACATGTGGTTCCACCGGTTTGGCCGTCCCCTGTGGGCGAGAACGGAGCACCAAACCGCCTCGCTGCAAAGAGACCTGCAGGTACAAACCTGGGACCGCCGCCTCCCGTCAGAGCCCCCCCAGCACTGACTCTCATTAACACGTACTCTGTCTCCTGCAGGAGTCCTCCATCCTGCCACCACCCGACCAGAGAGACCCACCGGTGCCACCCCGGGCCCTGCCCCCCCTGCAGACAGCCCTGCCTGCTGCGGCTGCCCGGCTGCAGCCACACCTGCCCGCAGCCCTGCCACGACCTGGTGCTGGTCAAGTCCCAACAGGTACGTAGCCAGCAGCTGTTAGCTTAGCTTAGCATAAAGATTGGAAACAGGGAACAACATCCACCTACCAGCTGCTCCAAAGCCAAAGTTAGTGAACGCTGCGCTGTGCTTAAAAGTAGCAGGTAAATACAGTCGGCTGGATAAATTAACCAAAGAAACAAGAGATGGAAGAGGGTAGTTGCAGCAAATTAGTCTGTTCATCTCAGAATAAATCGAGCTCCACCGATCCACCGTGAGGCAGACACCTGGAAATGTATTGAAAATGACCAAATATCTTATAAGAAATAATCTCTGTTGTCCTAAAATTATATTTATGTCTTATAGCCCCTCACTCAGGTTGCTTATATAAACCTGAGGGTGTTTATTGTTTCAAACTCTGTTTGTAGAATAAAAAAATGATTTATTTATTGTTGGTGGTAGATAAATACACAGCGATGCACTTTCACCGTCTACTTCTAAAAGGTTTTTCTGTGAAATTAAATACTTAATTTACTTTACTTACAGGCTGTGGTCACATTAATGTGACGGTCAGAGGGAATGTATAGGATGTATAGGAAATATAGGAATAAAACTGGGGTTAAATGGGTCAATACTGGACCTCCTGGTTACATAACTGTCCTGTATAGTCAAGAAAAACTCCTGGAAAATGATTTATTAAAAAGAGTGGGAGCCCTGCATCAATAATTATAATCCATTAATATAATTTTGAGATTTTTTTTTTACTTGAATAAAATGATGTGAGTTCTTCCTCCCTGTTGCTTTAACACGAAGGATGTTTGTGGCACAAAGAGTAGAAATTATAAAAAGACTCCATCTGTGTCATCAGTTATATAAAGTGATGTTTCCTGTTTCCTATCAGAGTAATGATGCTGATGTTTGGAGAACCTCTGCATGTTTTCTTAATGTGTGTGTGTGTGTGTGTGTGTGTGTGTGTGTGTGTGTGTGTGTGTGTGTGTGTGTGTGTGTGTGTGTGTGTTTAGGTGCAGCTGGCGGGTCCGTGGGAGCAGCCGTCTGAACCAGCCTTTGTGAAGAAAGCTCTGCCCTGTCCGCCATGTCAAGTACCGATACCAACGTAGGTCAAACACACATTATTGGAACAGAATTACCTTTTAATTAATGTTCTCTTTAAAACCAAATGCAGGTCTGGTTGAAACCACCTAATATTACAATAATTCCTAATAATTCACCAATAATTCAGCCAATTTCCCCTTTGAGCTTCCTAACTAGATACAGTTAGACTATAGATCCATAGACCCAAGTTCTTGTGCGAGGGAACCCTGTCAATGGATTTAAACAGCATCAGTTAACTGTTAGCGAGCTTTAGAGAATAGTTTGTAAGGAAATAAAGTCTGAAGCTCTTTAACTGCCTGTGCTACAGCGAGAGCATGGGTATAAATTACACTGTCATCAGCGTAGAAGTGTGTTTTTGCTTCAATGTTTTTACATAAGTAATTTAAAAACAGGATAAAATAGACCCCAGACTGGAACCCTGATAAATATCAAACACTTCCTGCGGTATTTTCACATTAAAAGCCTGCCAGTTAACGGAGGGCTGGATGGATATTATGCAGGAAGTGTTGAGTTTAACAAAAACAGTATTAGAGGGTTTACTTCTGGTTTAGTGAGTTTCTGGATATTTCATATTATCTTCAGAACAACACAATAACTGCAGGAGGTTTGTGTAAAAGGAGTGATTTGATGAATTTTGAGCAGATTATTTCCTGTGAATATTAATCAGACATTAGTTTGCCTGATTTTAACAATCATACAGACTTAATTGGCCTCTTTCTTAATAAATTAAGCGTTTTCTTCTCATTGTTCTATTATCTCTTTGGTTGTTTTAATGCTTGTGTTCAGGTCCTGTTTATAATAATCTAAAAAGAACAATTTCATTTAGTTTTCTTCACATAAAGGAATGAAGAGATATTGGCCTACTGTGTGTAGTTTTCTTACCCCCAGATTGGGAACCACTGTTAGAGGTCACACAATATTAGACTATTTAATATTATTATATTTCCCATCAGACTTTATTTACTGCACTTGTGATTAAGTGACATTAAAGTAGAGGTTAAATGTTAATATATTAGTATGAGTATGAACAGCCTGCAGATATACACACAGGGGGATAGAAACAGAGGAGGTCTGAGTCTCAGTGTGTGTTCGAAACATTAAAACAATTGTTCTCTGTTTTCACCATGTGGTACCCAGACACCCAATAACACACACACACACACACACACACACATTCCTGGGTACTTTGGTCTGTCATGGATCATTAGAGCTGAGATTAAAAAACACTCTGCATGCTGTGTGTGTGTGTGTGTGTGTGTGTGTGGATTACATTGTGTTTGCCAGCTGCCTGTAGCTCTGTGACGCAGTGTATGTGTTGATGTTGAGAATATTCGGGCCAAAAGCCACAAACAGGGCCGACACCGAGTGTGTGTGTGTGTGTGTGTGTGTGTGTGTGTGTGTGTGTGTGTGTGTGTGGCCTCAGTGTTCAGCATTCGTTCATATATTAGCTTAATATTCAGTTTATAAATATATATGTGTACAAGAGATGCTGTAGTGGGAGCAAATGTGAGCTTTTATTGTGAAGAAACAGGAGTAACACTTGTTTGTTTCCTCAATGAGCACTTTGGTAAAGAGGCTGTGATTAATGGAAGTTAATGGAAAACCTCAAAAATGTAAAAAGAATAAAAGGAATTAAATGAATAAATTCAATATAATAAACTGGCATGAAGCAGCATTAAGAGTACATGGAGTCGATGATGATTAAACTGAGTTAATGTGACAGAATAAAAGTGAACATTTAGTCTTCCTGTTTGTGTTTCAGAGCCTGTTTTGGGGAACATGAGGTAAGAACCGATCAGTTTACTCCCTGATTGTCACCATTTACACACTAACTTCATGTATCTGCCTCAGTTTTTAGATTTATCACTTCCTCCCCTCTTTATCTGGAGACCTCTCTCCCTCCCTCCCTCCCTCCTCTCCTTGCTGTTTTCTTTTCAAACCTCGTCCATTATTAGTTTGTCCTTCTGACCTCCTCCTCATTCACTCTTTCTATCTCTCTCTCTTTGTCCTTCTCTGTCTCTGTCTCATATAATTCCCTCCTGCGTTTCATCCCATTTCGTCGTTTGGTATTCAGCGCACTCGCTACACTCGTTCACCTTCAGACGAGGTCAAACAATACGTTTAAAGATGTCTGTACTCCGTCTGTCTGTCCGTGATCAGGTCAGCCCGGTGCCGTGTCATCGTCGGGGGCGGTTCTCCTGTACGCGACCTTGTGGACGACCTTTGACCTGCGGAAACCACGACTGCAGCAGGGAGTGCCACCTGGTTACCAACGGCAACAAGGTGAAGACACACCCAGTGTTTGTAGTTGTAGCGCCCCCTGATGGTAGGTTGCAGGTCCTTATATGGACGTATCCTGTGAGTGTTGTGATGATCAGCCCAATGATTTATATCGAGTTATGTTTCAAGACACGCCCCCTTTGAATCTCATTGATCAATATCTTGAAAACTGAATCAGATATCAATATATAAGCCTTACGCAACTATTGATCAGTTCTATCCAACGATGATCAGCAAGTGATTTGGAAACAATCTGAGCTGTGGTTTCAGAGGAGATGGCGAAAATGTTTCAGTTTGTGTGAGGGGGCGTGGCCTTTAACTGCAGCGCCACCATCTGGTCGATTGCTCATTATGTCCTGTTATTGTTTGGTTTTCCACAGTTTGAGACGATTGAGACAATCTGTAGTTTGACGTGATGAGCTGACCAATCCAATCTCTCTCTCTCTCTCTCTCTCTCTCTCTCTCTCTCTCTCTCTCTCTCTCTCTCTGCAGTGCGAGGTGTGCGACGAGGCCTGCTCTAAGCCCCGCCCCCCCGGCTGCCCCCACACCTGCTCCCGCCCCTGTCACCCCGGCGGCTGCCCCCCCTGCAGCCAGATGGTCCGCCAGCGCTGCCACTGCAAGATCAGCATGCTCTACGTGGAGTGCACGTCAGTACACTTTAAACAGATCACTGTACTGTTATTGGTCCAATAACTGATCACAGAGTATTGATTACAGAGTGACAGTCAGTGAGTGAAACAGCGAGACGCAGTGTTTAAAGTTTATTCTTGGATATGAAACCATGATGTGAATGTGTCTGCAGGAAGTTGACGGCCGCTGATGATCAGACGAAGCAGCAGCTGGGCTCCTGCCACAACCAGTGTCCTAAAGAGGTGAACACACACTCTGGGCCCCAGTGCACCATGGGACTTTATCAGACTCTGGAAGGGGAGTCACCTGCCTCCCATTACTGTGTGTGTGTGTGTGTGTGTGTGTGTGTGTGTGTGTGTGTGTGTGTGTGTGTGTGTGTGTGTGAGAGAGAGAGAGAGAGAGAAAGAGAGAGAGTGTGTGTGTTCCTTTTCTTCTTCTGTTTTTCTTCCTTCAAAATCAATGATCAATAATTGTCAGTGTCGTTGCAGCAGAAATACAATACCACCCATTGGTCTCTCTCTCTTTCCAATAATCAATTTAGCTCTGTGGCGCCAGACGACACACGCACACACACAGAGAGAGACACACACACACACACGCGCGCACACAGAGACACACACACACACACACCCACACAGAGAGAGACACACACACGCGCACACACACACACGCACACACAGAGAGACACACACACACGCGCACACAGAGACACACACACGCGCACACACACACACGCACACACAGAGAGAGACACACACACACACACACACACAGAGACACACACACACACACACACACACACAGAGTCTGTGTGTTTCACTTTCACCTGGGAGTGATTTAGCTTTTTCATTCTGTCACTTACTGGCACTGACACACACACACACACACACACACACACACACACACACACTAATGTTTGAAGTGTGTGTGTGTTTCTGACTTAGGTTACCTTCAGGGACACACTGAGTGTTTGAGTAATTTTTCAGGAAATGAATTGAAGTTTATGTGAGGTCCCCGAAAGTCACATAAGTATACGTGTGTGTGTCAGAATACTGTTTTCCTAGAGCCTCCACACACACACACACACACACACACACACACAACACACAACACACACACACACACACGGTTAGAATAACAAACACACACCCTGGCTGCAGTATTGGTATGTTTATGCACACACACACACACACACACACTGAGGCTGCAGTGATTTGTGCTGCTGAGATATATTTGAGTTCAATAAGATGTTTGATATTAATAATAGTGAAAGTAAAACTACAGACGATGTTCAGAGCTGCTGTTGGAAGTGATTATAATGAACCAGAATAATAATAATGATAACCAATAATAATCAATAACGTGCCTGTGGACTGAGATGTATGTTTTTGTATCGGGACCTGGTGCAGCTGATCCATTTTATTGGTGATTATATTGATCAGGTAAATCGATCAGAGGTGATTCCTGCTTCCAGCTGCAGACTGAACGTTGAGAGAAACACATTGGTTCCTCTAATGTGTGTGTGTGTGTGTGTGTGTGTGTGTGTGTGTGTGTGTGTGTGTGTGTGTGTGTGTGTGTGTGTGTAGCTGAGCTGTGGTCATCGCTGTAAGCAGGTGTGTCATCCAGGAGTGTGTGAGGAGAAATGTCAACAGAAGGTGAAGCTCAGATGTCCCTGCAAGAGGATCAAGAAGGTAAACACACACACACACACACACACCTACACACACACACACACACACATTCTCACACACACACACACACACACACACTCTGACCTCAGTAATAAACACACACTGAGAGCTTCATACAGACAGATGCTGTCAGATTACATTAGATTAATACAATGTGTCCGAACAGCCGATCCTTCACTTTCACTTTAACTGTACACAGCTGGAGTCGGCCATCTTTCATAAACATCTGTAAGGTTTATTTATCTGTGTGTGTGTGTGTGTGTGTGTGTGTGTGTGTGTGTGTGTGTGTGTGTGCAGGAGTTTCCGTGCTCTCTGTCTGATCAGTACGTTCAGTGTGACGAGGCCTGCAGAGACCAGCAGAAGAAAGTCAGCCAGGTACACAAACAGACACACACCTGTACAGCTGCTGAGAGTCACACCTGGATACACAATGACCTCTGTGTGTGTGTGTGTGTGTGTGTGTGTGTGTGTGTGTGTGTGTGTGTGTGTGTGTGTGTGTGTGTGTGTGTGTGTATTCAGCTGAAGGACGCGCAGCAGAGAGCAGCTCAGGAGGAGGAGCAGAAGAAACTTCAGGTCAGTGTGACACTTATTGCTGTTAATGAGATCAATTACTAATAACGGTGATTAATAATGGACACAGACACACTCACTGACTGTCTGTCATTAACTAACCTGTGAGGAAGAGTTGGACACAGACACACTCACTGACTGTCTGTCTGTCATTAACTAACCTGTGAGGAAGAGTTGGACACAGACACACTCACTGACTGTCATTAACTAACCTGTGAGGAAGAGTTGGACACAGACACTCTCACTGACTGTCTGTCATTAACTAACCTGTGAGGAAGAGTTGGACACAGACACACTCACTGACTGTCTGTCATTAACTAACCTGTGAGGAAGAGTTGGACACACACACACTCACTGACTGTCTGTCATTAACTAACCGCTGTGTGTTCAGGAGGAGCTCGAGGCGTTCGAGAAGCGTCAGCAGCGAGGAGGGAGGAGGAACAAGAAGCGGGGGAGGAAGGAGGAGGTGGACGACGAGGCGGGGAGGGCGGCGAGGTGGTGGAGGAGGTGCGCCGCCTTCGTCCTCGTGCCGCTGGGTGGAGCTCTGCTGTCGGCCGCCGCCTACTACCTCCTGAACACGCCCTGAACTCACGTTAATACGAACACGTTCTCTCACAGCCACGAGTTCAATTTAATTCTGTCGTCTTATTTCAAGTTTTTGTTTTCTGATTTATTCTCGATTGTTTCTGTAATTTAAATTTAATTCTCGATTGTTTTTGTTGTTTTTTTTCGAGGTAGAAGTAGTTTTAGTTTCTTCCTGCTGGAAGTTCGACGGTTGATCTGAGTTTCTGTACCGATGCTAAAAAACAAGACGTAAAACTTTATTTTAAAACATTTTTAAATCGAACAATAAAATGAAGTCAACGGTGTTAATTTTCTGAACTGGAGCTGCAACAGAGGTTTAATTTCATTATTGATTATTCAGTTATTGGAGTCGTTTATCCAATAAAACATTACGTTGTTAGAATTTATTAAAAACTGATGATTATTTTTTCAGTTTGGACAAAATTCACAATAAATATCATCAAATGTTTTATCTTGTACGAAGTGAAAGTCGTGAATTCTCTCATTTGAGTAACTGAAACCATCACGTTCTGTATTTTCTGTTGATTGACGAATAATGGACCAATCGTTGCAGCTCGAGTCTGAACACAAGTTTTAAAAGCTTCATCAGAAACCGACAGCAGTGAGTAAATAACTGATACATCTTCAGTAACTGAAGCTAAAGCTGAGTGAACGAGAACATCTTCTCCTGTATTTAAATAAATGAAATCAGATTTGACTGTTGGCTCAACTGGAAACATGAACGAGTAAAATCTGAATTGTTTGTGTGCAGCAGAAACAATAAACAACATAAAAAACATCTGTTATGTTTTTGGGGATATATTTTATTTCAGAGGAGTTTTTCTAATGTTTGGCCGACAAAGAACTATTCCAGAGAGTAAATGTGCTGAACGACTTTATTGTGAATAAAGTTTATTTGATTAATAGTTTGATTAATTTCAACAAATATATATGAGTCACTAGTTCCATCTGAAAACTAATGTTAGCAAATCACTGGTTAACTAATGCCTGATGTAGTTAGCTAACATTTAGCTGACATTAGCTCAGTACTTCTCAAATAGTGGGGCACACCTCCCTGGGGGGGCAGTGAGGTGTCGGGACTGACGGAGGAAGAGAGATGGAGGAGTTTCTGACAGGAGTAAAAAGAAAAACGGAGGAGACGTCAGAGGCAAGAACAGAAAGTGACGGTAACCGGCAGAAACCTAATGAGAGCAGGAAATACGACGAACCCTACGCAGCCCTGGGTTTACTGTGAATACGACCTTAAATAAGACCTTAAACTCTGGCAGCGGACAGCATGAAAGCAAACACCTGGAGACCTTACACCCAGCTCTGTCAATAAGCCACTGGACTTTCTGCATCAGATACTCGATGAGTATCTCCAACAGGCCGGTCATTCAGTGAGCGCGGCATCAGTAAATAAAAACACACCGTTAGCCTCGGACAAACACCGCCACATCACAAGGTGCAAAAAACCATCACACAACAGCAGAGGAGCGAATACTCCGGCAGCATTGGACATGGTCACAATCATAGGTGAGGAAAGAGACACTGAATACTGTCCCTCTGTCCAATGACACGATCAGGAGACGTATATCTGACATTATAGACGACCTCCAAGAACAACTCACAGAACATCTGACAGACAAACGTTAAATAGAAACAATGTTGTTGCAAATTTTACACAAAAAAAACCCAAATGTTAAAAAGTCATCTAAGTTAGTTTAAAGTTGCTGCAGATGTTATCTCAGCTCATTTTATTAATCCAGTTTGATAATCAGGTGATTGTATGCAGAATGCTGGTGCCAGCAACTCATACAGTGGTTTGTACAGATAGATAAATAAATATGATCAGGTTCTCAATAGTATTCAAATTCAGGGGGGGCGTGAAAAAAATTCTGTCCTCTAGGGGGGGCATGACAAAATAATTGAGAACCACTGCATTAGCTGAACTTAAGATCTGACTTTTAAATACTCTAAGATCTGACTCTTTAAGATCTGACTCTTTAAGATCTGACTCTTTAAGATCTGACTCTTTAAGATCTGACTCTAAGATCTGACTCTTTAAGATCTGACTCTAAGATCTGACTCTTTAAGATCTGACTCTTTAAGATCTGACTCTGACTCTAACTAATGAATCTAATGATTGACGGGTGAATGTGGTATTATTGGTTGGATTTTGCCGTTTTGTTGCCACGCGTTGTTTAAATATAGTAACTTTATAACTGTGAGTTATAAATGAGAGTTTAAAGGGTTAAAATAACATTTTATTGAACAAACAAAATGTCCCCACTTTTCAAAATGTCCCCACTTTGAGAGTCCAAACTCGACCTGGTCCTCACAAAGACATAGAAACATAAAAACACACCTTGTGGGGAAGTTGTGTGTTTTGGGATTTAACACACAGGCACGAGGCTCATGTCCCAGCATGCACTTGGTGGTGAATTGTGTTTAAATCCCTCGTTAAGGCGATCACGTGCAGACAACCTGAGCAGTGTTAGAGGGGGGGAGGGAGGGAGGGTGAGAGGGAGGGGAGAGAGGGGGAGGGAGGGAGGGAGGGAGGGTGAGGGGGAGGGGAGGGAGAGAGAGAGAGAGAGGGTGAGGGAGGGAGAGAGAGAGAGAGAGAGAGGGGAGGGAGGGAGGAAGAGAGAGAGAGGGAGAGGGAGGGAGGAAGAGAGAGAGGGGTGAGGGAGGGAGGGAGAGAGGAGGAGAGAGAGAGAGAGAGGGTGAGGGGGAGGGAGGGGAGGGAGAGAGGGTGAGGGGGAGGGAGGGAGAGAGGGAGAGGGAGAGGGGAGGAGAGGGGGAAGGGAGGGAGAGAGGGGGGAGAGGGGGAGGGAGGGAGGGAGGGGAGGGAGGGAGAGAGAGAGAGAGGGGGAGAGGGAGGGAGGGAGGGAGAGAGAGGGAGAGGGAGGGAGAGAGGGAGAGGGAGGGAGGGAGGGAGGGGAGAGAGAGAGAGAGAGGGTGAGGGAGGGAGAGAGAGACAGAGAGAGAGAGAGAGAGAGAGAGGGGAGGGGAGGAAGAGAGAGAGAGAGGGAGAGGGAGGGAGGGAGAGAGAGAGAGAGAGAGACAGAGAGAGAGAGAGAGGGTGGGAGAGAGAGAGGTGAGGGAGAGAGAGAGAGAGAGAGAGAGGGTGGGAGAGAGAGAAGGTGAGGAAGAGAGAGAGAGAGACAGAAAGAGAGAGAGAGTGAGTGAGGGAGAGGGGAGGGAGAGAGGGGGGGGGGGGCGGAGCCAGCGTGTCTCGTGCTCGGTTAGTTAGCGGAGCTGCTCGCGGGCAGCAGGCAGAGGGATGGTCTCGCGCTCGGCGGCGGGCAGCATCAGGTCATGTTGTCCGCGCGGCTGGAGACCTGCCCGCGTGTCACCTTCAGCGGAGCGGGAACTGCGTCGGTGAGTCTCTCTCTCTCTCTCTCTCTCTCTCTCTCTCTCTCTCTCTCTCTCTCTGTTGTCCGCTGTCTGTGAAGCTCTCTCTATCTTCCCTCTGTGCTACTGTCCTTGAATGCACCGCGCTGTCTCCTTGTCTGTCCTCTTCCTCTCTTTCTGTCTCAGTGCTGATGCTGTGTCTCAATCAGCCTCCGATCACTGAGCTACAACTCTTAATCAATAAGTTAGTAATCAGTGAATCCTGCTGATTGATAATGAGGGTTATTAATGGATCATTTACACACAGAACTCTTTCTGTCAGTTATTAACTGTTCTTTAACACAATCGTTCATTTCACTGTCCATTAATCCGTTTCTCACTTTATTATTTATTATTATTGTTTATAAAATATATCCATCACAGCTTTCTGTAGCTCCAGATAATGTCTTTAAATTGGGTCAAAAATACCAAATATTCACTTTATTATGATGTTCAGACAAGAATACTCTGTAAACATTCACATTTAATAAGGTTTAATCTTTAAATTATAATATATTTTAATGTTCTCGTAATGTTAATGTTTGTTTTTAAATTTGGCTCAAAACTCTTTATTTTAATTATTTTAAATAATCTCTTTAGTACTGTAAAAAATCATTCTGTGTTTTAACGACAGTGAACCTGTAATAATGCTCAAAGCTCAATAAACTAATAAACTGCACTTTAAAAAAAACGTTTAAAAAAACTATTCTGGAAATCCATATAAAATTACAGAACAAATACTTTTTTACTGTTAATGTCACAAATTTTACATGATTTTAGAAATGTATTAACATTATTAAACTTGAATTTAACAATTTGAATCTATTAAATAAATTAATGATTGTTAATCAAACCTTTAAAAACTGGATCATTCAACTCTTCTGACTTTGAAAATGTTTAATTATTGAACCCGTTGTAATGTTGGTGGATTCAGGGTCTTTTTGAATATAAGATATATATATAAGACAAAATGTCCCTTTAAGCTCTGAACTGCAGAGATGTTTAATTAATTAATAGGTAATAATCAGTAAATACAGTTCAGTGCTCTGTCTTCTTTTATGTCTCGTTACACTTAATGAATAATAGATGAGTCCTTCCAATAAAGATTAATCATTAACAGATTAAAGCAGGCAGAAAGGAAATAATCCTGTAATTGTATTAAAGAACTAATGATTATTTTCATTAATGATTCACCAGCTGATCGTTTTCTGCATTAATCAATTAATCGTTTTGCTCATAAAACGTCAGAAAATAGTGAAAAAATGTCTCGTTTTGTCTGACAAAGAGTTCAAACTCTAAAAAATACTTATTTTATTACTTTAACTAAAACGTAGACCAGAGAAACGTTGTGTTTCTGTTGCAGCTCCAATAACATTTAATACATTCAGGAAGTTTATTACAATTCTGAAAACAACAAACTGACTTCAACATAAATCCCGATGGACGCTGGCGGCTTTAAAGGTTTTGTACCTTTAATTTATATAGTTAATATATCTGTATTAATTATTCTACTGCTGATTAAAGGGAATATAATTATGCTTGAGGTTGAGTTACGAAGACTGTGAAGATTGCGTGACAGTGACTTTAGTAGTTTGGAAGGGAGTTCCTTGGAGTTTTCTTGTGGAATATAAATTGTTTTACAATGAAAATAATATTTTATTGATGCTCAGAAGTGAAGTTGTTAGTTGGTTGGACAGAAAAAGAAACTCTTATAATTGAGTATTGATCTTAAAGCTCCAGTATGTCACATTACTGTAATATAATGTTCACAGGTTCCATTAGTGTGTGAAATAAGAATCGTTGTGTGTTTCCTTAGAATGAGACTTTTTTATCTACAGAGGTTTACAGTTTGATCGTAGTTTCTCGTTTGTTACTGCGACTTAAACAAGCAAAAATTCACTGCGTCCGGCTTCTGAAATGTGAATATTTGCAGTTTTCTTTCATTTATTAGAACAAATTATTCATGTAGAAAATACATAGCAGATTAAGAGACGAATGGTAATGATGAAAGTAATTACTAGTAAATATTATTAACTGACAGCAACAGTTGGACCGATATAAAGTCAACATAAATGTTTTTGTCTTTTTTTAACTTCCATATTTTTGTGTATTTTTGGCCTTCAGAATAAAAGCATTTCTTTAAATGAGTCCCTTGCTCTAAGATGTAAATGTGTTAATTTAATCCACTAAATCTGTTTTTAAAGATTGACTTTGGAAAGCAAATGTTGTGATAAATTAAATGTAAACACAAACAAACAAACAATCAATCAATCAACAATCTGTATTTGTTGTTGTTTTTATGAGCACAGGAGAAAAAGTCTAAAAACGTCACTAACTGGAGGCGTTAATGAGTCATTATGAGTCAGTGTGTGGAGGAAGGTTGAGGAAAGCAATCAATCAATCAATGTATTGAACAGAGAGAGAGAGAGAGAGAGAGGTGGAGGAGCGAGCAGTATTTAAAGCAGAGGGGTGCTGCGTGGTGTCGAGTGTCGGCTCGTCATCATATCGCTTCAAAAATAACTTCAACAAGTGCAACGGAAACTCTGAGAGGACAGAAACACCCGCCACCCCCGCTGCTCGCCAGAAATAACCTGGAGGGGGGAAGGGGGGCGGGGCTTAAACTGGACTCAAAGGGTCAGTGTGGCGTTTCCCGACCTGAAGCCAGCACTGCTGTTACCTCCAGCTCCCCCTGAACGCGTCAGAAACCCACTTCCTGTTGGGAAAGAAACGCACCGATGGTTTTATAAAGTCCGATGAACTCGTCTCGATGTGTCCTCCAGACTCCGGCTCGAGGACCCGAGGCCGGGATGGGCGGGGAGCCGTGTCCTCACAAGCTGGGATCGACCAATCACCTTCGACTTCTCCTCTACATCCTGATCCCGACCGTGAGCCTGCTGGCCGGCCTGCTGCTGCTCGTCCTGACCCTCACCGGTACGCACACACACACACACACACACAGTAACACACACAGACACACACACACAGTAACACACACACACACACACACACACACACACAGTAACACACACACACACACACTAACACACTAACACACATTGTTTATGGAAGTTTATTGACGTCAGAAAATATGAGCGAACACGAAACAAACATCAGGTGTTTCTTCTTGTTCTGTTTATATGAATCATAAAAGGGAAATTACATTTTAGTAGCTGTTTCTTTGTTTCCATTGTTTGTGCTAAGCTAAGCTAACGGTGACCTGGCTGTACACTAAACTGTGTTCGTGAACAGATTTGAGGAAAGAATCTGGATCCATATCTGATCAGCACCAAAAAACACACAAAAACACACTGTGTATTTTCCATGTGTGCTTCGTGCATTGTTTCATGTTGTCAATCACAAGGTAGCCCCGCCCTAAAGCATACCCTGCTTTATGGTCTGTTTTACTCTCAATGGGA